ACATCTTTATAAAAAGGTGTAGTAGTGCATTATCACACGTTTTAAAAAACGTGTTTAAAAAATCACACATTTTTAAAGGTGTGAGGTTTGCATTTCTTTTATAAGGTCCATCGCTACACTTGTTAGGGTGTTAGTTATGGGACACCCCACTTACATGTATAAAGGTGTGAAAATGTTTAATGTGTATAAACCTCTAACGGAAGACAATCTCTTTCATGGGATTACATCGCGTGCCGATGAAACGATCTGTCTATGACACGTTCGATGAACTGATTTGACCGCCAATGAGTGACGACTGCCAGTAGAATTTCGGGGAAATAACTCTGCCGGCTGCCAGCAGACTCGACCCTACCCAAGAATTACCCCGGTTCTTGTTTGTTTCCCAACATTCTGAATTATATACCAGCTTATTAGTACCTCTTCAAATATTACAGAAAAAAAAAACGCTGGCAGCCGCATAAACTCTGACAGCTCAGCTCACAGTCATGAGGGAGACTGACAGGTGCTCGTCAGTCGCCACCATGCCTTGAAAGCTACCGGTTCCGAAGAACCGGAGCGTGCAGAGAACTTGTTCCACGGTCCGAGGCGGCAAACGACACTCGTCGGCAGAGTCAACGCACAACGGCTTTCGATAGCCGGTACTGTCGCCGAAAGTCGTCGTCGGGGAGTTGAAAGGCGTCCCCGGTGGTCTCAGTAGCAACGCCGACGATGGCGGAAGATAAGCTCGGCCGCAGCGTACGGCACCGCCATGTTGACAAAGTTTAACTTTGCCTCGATCCGAAGCGAAGATCTCCACCTCAAACCACGGCTCTCGCAAAGTTCGGAAATGTCACTTTGACGTCAGCGACAACTTCGACAAACGAGGTTTCTTTTTTACACAAACTTCCGAGGGATTTTGAGCGTCAGCAGTTCGTCTAGGGATAATCTGCAAAGCATTAATTTTAGCTTGGCGTAGGGATGTAGGGACAAATGGGTGCTACGTCATCGGCGAAGCCGTTCAATCAGCAGGTTCTTCGCGCCGCACGCGCGCCTCGATGAGCTTTGCTACATTCTGCCTCTCTCAAAGAAATGAGCGTTCAAATGATTGACACCTCGCTCGGCGCAACATCAGCGTCGCGAGAGTCCAATTAGCGCGTTCCGGAAACTTTGGGCACAAAGTTGTGCTTGACGAGTTTAGTGACCCTGATGTCAGATGACTTCAGACAACGCGCAGACAGTGTAATCTGACACTATGACTTGGCACCATGACGTAAATTTTCTTTGATTTGGGAGAGAATTGATATCCCGTGACCCCAGGACATTACCGTGTCAAGTGCTCGGAAATTAATAAACAATATGTTATTCACTTCCTGAAAACAACTGTTTAACTTTGTCTAAACAAATTTAAATGATCACTTCTTAAATACTGCATTCTATGATTTATAGGACTTTGAAGATAAACATCACTCGCAATTGTTGAACTAAGCATTATACACAAACTCATTTCTGTTACGTCACGGTGCGGTGGTGGCGTGTCAGACGCACTTCTGGTCTGGGGCTGTGGGCAAAGGTCAACATGGGGGACGTGCATTCCCGTGTTACTTTGGAAGAAACTGGACAAAAACCTGTCTTCTCGTCAAAACACCGTGACTGGGGCAAAAGGGTCGGGAAAGGTTTGAAAGTCAGTTGTCGTTTTCTGCAGGCTCGGTTCGTTCGAGAATATGAACAGGGGCCGTGATAAGAAAAAACACGACGCCGTCGGACCACGATTGCTTGGGCGAAAAGCACTTTGGATTGAATTCACGGACACTCGTGGTCGTCAGATTTTTTTATTTTGTTCCAACATGAACGCGGGAAAACCGTCAAGTTGCACGGACCACCCGCAGACTATGTTCAGTGCATCATCAAGTTCAAACGGCCGCCTCATCGTTCAAGCTGTCATCTGCACTCTCAAACGTTTCTGGTTATCGTCTGCTCGTTCAAATGACAGCAGCCCGTAGACCAAACGATGACCCGGCAATTGCGATAAGAAGTGCAGACCTCAAAAGACATTTAAGTTTGAAGGTTGCTTCGAGTAAGTAGGCTCGGTGTAAACAGTAGGTATAAGGAGATGTTGATAACTGTTATTAGTGGCCATCACCGACTTATGCCTGATTCACTCGTTCCGATTCTGCTTGTGATTTTCAGTATCGACGTCAATATCTCAGCTACAACTCAGGCTTCTCCAGCCCGAGCGACGTCATGACTGAATATAGCGAGAAGAACCTCATCATGTGAATCAAGGTTTAGCATCCATTCTGCGGCGTCCATGCAGAAAGAATCGCCGCATGTTACATTATTCACACAAAGTTTTGCGGTGTAACAAGCCTCATTAATTTCGCTGAAGTCGATCAAGTAGTCAGGCATTGCTAAGAAAACGTAGAATCAATTCCAACACGAAAAAGAGCACCAGGACACACACCAACGCCGACAACGACGCATTCCAATGGTTTGTCTATGGGTGACGGCGAGCTTCTTGCCCACACCCCCCTCGCGCATGCTGGGGCGTCCGCTAGGGGCACTCCGGTTTGTTAGTAAACATGTTTTGGTGTATACACTTATTTTCTGGCATTGTATTTACTATGTCATGTTGTCTATGAAACACCTCCTTCAATATATTTGCTGACAAGGTGATCTCTGCCCAAAGACGTCAATTTAAAAAAAAACTGAATTTCGATGACAATGATTGATATCACCAGGAAACTTAATTTTAAATAAAACCTGAACCCAGAAGAACACCCTCTAATTTAGCCAAAAAATAAACTTGGAAACAACAGAAACCTAGTTAGGTCGCGTATTTGGTGCCAGTGGGTAAAATTAAACTTTACGGTGGTCCCAGCCCTTCTACACTATTGGTGGGTCCACACAGTGACGCACTAAAGTGCCACTCAAGGTCAACACAGTATATGTGCTTCACTTTGATCGTTACAAGTGCCAATAAACTTTGAACCATTTCGGCCCATTCCAACTAAAGGTGGCAAGCTCTGTCTTCCTTAACGCACTGGCATCATTCCATGATTGCAGTTTACCGTTGTCCCTAGGGTAACGGTTGCCATTATCATTTGGCGAGTGCTACCCACAGTTTTTGCTGGCCTCATAACAAAGTAGTAGCTGGAAATGGGAGGCAGCCTTCTGGAAACCAGCATTGTGACAAATTTAGATGTAAAAGCTATTGGCTTGACAATATCTTTCGATTCTGGACGGATGGATGAATTAGGGCATGGCGCTTTGATTCAGGCAAACCCTTGAGCAACTCTGCCCTAAGTATAACTAAACTTCCTCCTTGTTTTTTGTGTCTTCTTCAATGATCTCCTTGAGCTCTTCCCACCATTCTTCCAGCCTTCTCTTAGTTTGCCTCACATCCTTTTGGGGGTCCCTATTCATTCATCAAACCATCCCATCCCTAGGTAAATTCAGGTATGTACTGGACTTGCCTTACCTACGTGCTTAAGTGTTTCCTTCGCCTGTGCCTACAGCATCTCTTCATATCTCGACCTACATGTCATGGCCCTTAGTATCTATCTTTTCTTCGGTCAGCAACCAACGTAACTTCAAACTGTTAAAAAATGTTCTATTTCCTTATTCTTAAATTTTATGCACAGCAGTCTAGTAATTACACGTTTCACTCATGCTCTTCATTATGGGTCAGAAAGCCAAACCACAAGTATGATCATGTTTGGCTCTGAAGCTTGATTTGTGCTCTTTGCAGCAGATGGCACTGTAACCACTATTTTAATGCCCCCTTCAGGGGTTTCGGTTGTTTGTCGCATATTTCTCAGAAAAAACTCTAATCCCCCTTCAACCCACAAAAAAAAAAAAGATATGTTTGTAAGCATAGGGAAAGTCAGGATGGGCTCAATATGGAGGACTTTAGCCAATAAAGAAATACAAAAACTTGTTTGCAACTGACGAGCACTCTACCATTTTCAATGATGAGTCCTACAACCTCTGATGCCTTGAACACTGTTTAAATCTGGCAGTTTGAACAAAAATTAAATGAAATAATCACGTGGCCTCCAGATGTCACCCTCTAGCTACCTAAATGTTTTCAACAGTACGGCATGCTGAAGAGCTGCTGAATAGACACATCAGATGGCCAAGAATATATAGTTTGAGCGACAAAGCAGATCTGAAGTCCAGTGCATGTTTTCTCTAATGTTTGTGCAAACTGACGATGTTCAATAAAACTTTGTGGCATGTTTAGTGAAGAAAAACAAATTAGGAAGCAATGGCTGACTTTCTACCCTGTTCATTGTTTTCCAACGTTAGCCAAGTACCTCACAGAAAATCTGCTTCCTGTCTGGTTTCCAATTTCCCGCATATAGAAACCCAAAATTTACATTGTTTCACTCTTTCCCCATGGCCATTAAGCTCCCCTGAGCTTCAATCCTAGTGCTTGCTTCCCTTCACTGAAGCATACCGTAAAATCCCGAGACAGCCCACCTAACATCAAGAGCTAATCGTATGAAAATATGGAGTGGGCTAACTTTCAGTGTACAATCAAGAAAAGCTTTAAAAAATTGCTATTTCTATGTTGTGTCCCTTCCAAGGTGGCGAACGGCAACGAAGCAAGGATGATCGTATTTCCCAGTCAGCAACGTTCACTTATATCCCGCCATAGGGACCTAGCCGCAATAACTCCTAGGCCAGCATTGATTCCAACACTACTATTACTAAGAATGGGCTACCTTTGAATTATTAAAAAAATAAAGCAAATCAAGCCAAGCATAGGGGTGGGCTATCTTTAGAAGGTGGGGCATCTCTCAGGATTTTACGGTAATCAATATCACTCGGCACATTTTCATCTGAGCTCTGGGCTCCACCGAGGACGTGGCCCTGGTGGGGGATTTCCAAACAAGCACGAGCCCTAGGAGTGTGCAGGTAGCTGTACAAGAAGCGCTGCTCGAGACTATGACCGCCTGTAGTCTAGACACTGCCACTGCCCTCTCTTTATGAAAAAGGTTAAAACAAAAAAAACTTACCAGGACTTGAAGACTGGATCGGTTTCATTTCAATAGCTTCCTGCAGTCAGGTTCGTCGCAGGCTCGCAAGATCACGAAGAATGCATGGGTCCACTTGAGATGACTAGGAGCAAATGCAAAAAGCAATGACCACGATTAATAATAATAATAATAAATATTTATTTTCAAGTGCCCAAAAACAACCAACAGGTCTTTTCTTTGGTACACATAATAAATGAGGAATTAAAATAACAGACATGGCAAAAATACACAAACGTTACAAATTGGCAACAAGTAATTTCATTTTCATCGCGAACACCCGAGAGTCGCTAAATATATCCACTTCAGCATTGTTGATACGGTTAAAAAGCAGTTGGCAGCGTGATAAAGGCGAGAGATCACAGACAGTATTAATGTAAAAAGTACAATGATTTCTAGTGGGTCGGGAGGGAACATGTAAATTAACATCACTTAAAAGCGAGCCACAATCAGATACACCGTTTACTAACTAACGAAAAAAGAAGTCACGTTCCGCTCTTCTATCGGACAAGTTTGTCAACGAAACTTTTTTAAGAAGAAATTCATAATCAAAATAGAAGCGACGATGAGAGTATCGATCATACACAATGCGTGTTAACCTCTTCTGTACATCTTAATGTTCAATGCCTGAGTTTTATTTAATGCATTCCAAGCTACTGAAGCAAATTCAAGTCTAGACCCGACTAGGGCACAAAATAACCGAACCAAGGAAGCCAAGTTATTAAAGTGCTTCATAATACGAAATATAACACCAAGCATTCTTGTTGCACTGCCAACGACAAGTGACACATGGGCAGTAAACGTTAGAACGTTATCCAGGTATACGCCAAGGTCTTTTATAACAGAAAAACATTTGATAGGCATCCCCTCTAAAACATAGTCGCAGTCTATTATGGGGTGACGCCTTGAGAAAGATACGACTTTTGTTTTCAATGGATTCAGAGATAAGCTATTCGCTGTACACCAAATAGCAATCTGTGAAACATCATGCTGTAGAGCGTTGCAGTCGATAGAAGAGGGAATATTCATAAAAAGCTTGATGTCATCGGCAAACAACAAAATTTGAGCGTTATCAACATATGATGGCAAGTCGTTGATGAATATCAAAAACAACAACGGGCCAAGGATGGAGCCTTGAGGGACACCAGATGTGGAAAAGAAGTGGTCGGAATGACTTATCTACACGAACTGTGTTCCATCGAGATGATAAATAACTACGGAACCAGTTACATAGCTCTGGGCAACAACCATATGACGATAATTTGTGTAACAGCTATTCATGGTTTACTTTATCGAAGGCTTTAGACATGTCAAAAAAGATACAATCAACTTGTCCTCTGTTTGTAACAACAGGGGCAGAGTAATTTAAAAAAGAGCAAAGATATGTTTCAACCGTACGTCCCTTCAAAAAACCATGCTGACACTCTACAAACTTATGCTGGAAATAAAAAAGAATACGGGAATACATAACCCGTTCAAATACCTTAGAAAATCCAGATAGCAAAGATATTGGGCGGTAGTTGCTTTTCACAGAGCTGTCACCTTTTTTCAAAACTGGTAAAACAACCGCTTTTCTCCAAAGGGAGGGAAAAACACCAGAAATAAGAGAGAGGCTGAAGATGTGCAACAAAATAGGTATAAATAATTCGCTACATCCCTTAATTATAAAGGATGGAATAGAGTCAGCTCCTATAGATAGCTTCAGTTTTAATTTTTTTTATTGCTTCCGCAATTTCAACGGCATCTACTCTAATACCAGACAAGAAATCATGGCAGTTGGTTTTTATTTCTTGCAGCTGAGTGCTTTGCTGACAGGTTGAATAACAACTGCTGAAGTAATCAGCAAAAATATTGGCAACTTCTGTAGGTGAAGATACATAGTTAGCGTTGTTATCTGTGCGCAGACAAAGACCTTGGTTTAAGTTGCGCGTGTGTTTCTTGGCATAGCACCAAAAGTTTTTAGGGCACCGGTTTAGGCTACACTCCACTTGTTCAAGGTGCAAGCGTTTGTCCCTAGCTTAAGATAAGAACAAAGTGGGCACACCCTCCAATCACATCAAGCTAGTCAGACAGCTATGAGGACAACACACAAGAGATGCACCCTAAATTTCGCCATGCAACATCACAATGAAGAATGCATAAGAACAGGGAATACAGTATGCCTGGCTTGCTAGGCACGTGGGTAGGTTGTAGCATGTGCATGTTAACACAATCTGTTTTCTTTTTGGCTGCCAGAGTGACACTACAGTAAAATTCTGAACAGTTAAAGGGGTTAGGACTTGCAAGAGATAACATCTGAGGTAACTATGCCACTGGAACCAATTAGTTTTCCCTATATTTTTGCTTGATATGTTTTGTGAACAGCACTTTTTGTGCAATAATTCAACTGAACCCCAGAACCATTGGATCCACCCAATCAGGGAGGCCACTCGTCACAATCCAGCTCGTTACCAAAAAACTTGTTACAAAACTAATCACAGCGGCCTTTTCTATCTAGGTCATCTCGTCATAGGAACACTCGACACAGGTGACCACTTGTAACCTGAAGACGGGTCGGAAATTTATCTTTGTTTTGGAAGGAGCAAGATTAACCTTGCTTTGTACAAAAGAATCAAAACGCACGAAATTAGTGCTACCATGTTTTTACTAAGAGGAATATGCTCAGGACGCTGCATTTGGTTAGACTACATTTACTAGAGCTTGGAACTAACAAACACTCAACGTATAAGACTTTGATGCTGTTGTACCAACACTTTTTGTTCAATTGTATCAAGAATTTGTGTACACAGCTAGCAAAAATGCAGTTCTGGAATTCATTCGGTAAGGACAAAAACCACTGCAAAGCAATATTGTTATACAAATCTTTTAGTACTGTCCCAGATAATTATCTTACGACCAGACAGACCGCTCTGATAAAATACATCAGAGCATAAGAAAAAAAGGAACAGCAAGGTATATCTTTTTTTAGGCTGGAGAGTGAAAGTGTGATCTTCGCAAACTCTTCCTGTTTTAACTTGCCTTTTCATCTATTTTTGGCCCCTCTTTTTTTTGCCAGGTGTTTCTTGGTATGTAAAATCGTTTCTGCAATAGATACACTTTGGACTGTTGCAAAAAAAAAAAAGTCCAGTTAACTATCCGACAGACTGCTGTATTCTGCATAGGTTTAAAAAAATGTTTGTTACATGATTGTTTAGCTTACAGGGGTGGAACTCATGAAATGTTCTTGGGAGCAGCCACGGGACCAGCTGAAACAGCTGTTTTGGAGCAGGTTGGGAGCAGCTAAGACTACATTCTGGAGCAGGCTAGGAGCAGCTCAGGTCAGTTTTCATTGCACTTCAGCTTGTGTCTTTTTTTTTTTTTTTTTTCTTTATTTGATTTGCGGATAACTTTTCCGCATGGGGGCAGAGATAAAGGCGTAATGCCTGACAGAGCCTCTGCCCCCTATAGTTCAGCATAATACATGAAAAAAATGCATGCAATACAGCAAAAATAAAACTAGAATAAAACAAACAGAAAGTATCAAGAAACTTGAACAGCGTATGGCGCAATGGCCATGAATAATCTGAACTAACAGCATCAAATAATTCTTAGACAAGCACGGGAGCAATTTCAATTGTGCTTAGCAGCACAGATGAGCATGAGTGGTTAGGGACCTAGGTAGATGGGATAACAGTGTAACAGATGTGAAAACTTGAAACTTTGTGTGCCTTAATGAGAAGCAAAAAGCAAGTATCATATGTTTCTGAAAATAGTGTCCTTGAAATTTTCTGAGTGGCTTTTAGCTGCTCAAAATGCAAAGCAGCACTGCCTATAGCACAACCCAAACATGCTCGACATAGTAATTATGCGTGCATACCATGTGACGTGCACAAGCAACGGACGTGCAGTTGCGCAGAGGAACAGGGCAACAAATTTCGAGTTTATCCTATTGTGCAACTCAATATCGAAGCAGCAGACTACGATTAACTGAGTTATCGTATTCTAAGCGATAAGCAGGACCAAGGTTAAAGTACGCCGAGCAGGTCTACCGTTCGCGTGAGAGCTGCTGGTCGGCCAGGTTTCGGATCGGACTGCGTTTCAGTTCTATCAAATCATGATTTATCTTGCAGGAATGCGGTTCCAACTTCTAACGATGAAGTACTAAAAGGAATCTTTTGGTCATTTGTTTTCAACTGTCTCACGCCCGGATCCCGGGCTGCAGAGCCTCAGGCAATCTGACGCTTAACCATTCGACCTCACCTCGGCCAACTTGCTTAACCACTGATGGTTGAAGAATAACAACCCAGTCGCAGGTGGTGTAGCGCTTGGAATCCAACCCCCGAATTTTTTTTGAGCACTTTTGACTCAAGATACACAGGGAAAATAAATAGAACAAAGGATTGCAAGGCCAACCAAGCTAAACGCGCTCATTGTTGCCAATTGAGCCGACAGAAACCGAAACCAAGACAAAATACAATTTTTTTGGAGCACGTTTTGCGATTTGGTGCATAATGGCGCGAGGTAGTGGCTGTGGCGCAGTTTCCGCAACATGGCGCAGGATGGCGCAGACAAATGCGTCTGGCGCAAGATGGCGCAAATGGCACAGCCGTTCCACCCCTGAGCTTATGATTATTCATACTTAACGTCCTCATGATTCAGCATGTCAGTTCTTAAACTGCTAATACGGTAATAATTTTTTAAAAACAAAAATAGACACACGGTGCACCGCGTGCTATGACGTCAAAGGAGTGAACGAGCGAGCAACTTAAAAGACGCTTGTTGCCAGGGACGCCGGAACGGGGGCTTGAGCACCCCCTAACATTTTCCAGGGGGTGCTGGGCAGTATGTTGAGCCCCGTGCATTTGGCTCAAGGCCTACCGAACAATGCCTGCACCCCCCTCCTCCCCCTCCCCTCTGTGTTCCCATTGGTACGTGGCTTTCCCTTAGCCAAGTGCAAAAGCCCGTGGCTCTGCTTTTGTAACGGCTGGTTTCCCACCAAATTGCGGCACAATCCTCGCACACAAAATTCCAGAAAAAAGAAATTGAAGAAAAGCAAAGTGTCAGTAAACCGCGGACGACACCGCATCTCCCAAAAAATGGGGAGGA